TTTTTTTTTTTTTTTTTTGTATTTTGGGCTCGATTTTTTTATGGAGACTGGGTTAGGTTTAGTTGGTAGCTTGTGAATATGTTGATGAAAATTGGGTTAGGCTTAGGTTTTTTAGTTGAATTTGTGATTGAATTCATTGGTTTATACACTCACGCCACGTTTTGGATATACTTTTTTTGATGTTATTTATATTTAATATCTCTTGGTCGATCATCATTCACACACTTGAGCACGTTTGAGTTGTTAGCTTGTCTCTAGTGTTGATTTGCATCGGTTTGCGTGCACATGGGCTGTTTGTGTGACTTTGTTGAGTTAACATCATTTTGGTTGTCATTTCACGTGCATTATAGCATTTCATTCAGTCGTGTTGTCTGTTGCATTATTTGATGTGAGTCTCTAGTCTACATTTGATGCCACCTAGGCGAGCTCGGACGACTGCAAGATATCGAGTACGTCCACATCTTTTAGTAGATCCCGGTTCTTATCCGCCACTGTCCAGAGGTATTCAGGACCCAGTTCTCGTTAAGCCCGGTGCTAGTGGAGCGCGACGTAGTCTTATATGACCTTTTTCTCGACCTCGCTACCATTTCTACTTCTCGTTAATGAGTTTTATGCTAACATTCACGACGTTAGTGGTTCTACTTTTAGGGCATTTCTTAGGGGTAAGACTATTAAGATCACTCTTGATATAGTATCTAGTATAGCCTATATTCCTAGAATCGTTCACCCCTTATTTTCATATTTGTCGGTTGATACCCTTCCGACGAACTCTCTTGTCCGTTCGATGGTGTTTAACAACCGTTGGAAGGAGGCCTTAGTGCGATCTATACTGGCTCTCTCCCCTACTAATTGTCAAATTCTGTTGCGTATTGTGTGCACGAATCTGTCGCTTGTATCCCATACTTCTTCATTACTATGGAAAAGGCCCACTTTTTGTACTTTTTATTACATGGCGACTCAATTGATTTGCCCTCGTTTATATGCCAACAGATTTTACCTGCTTTTCGTGTCATGGAGACTAGGATAGGACTTCTTTATGCCTGTCTGATTTACCGCCTTGTGACCGCACTTGGAGTTAGTTTTCTAGAGGGGGTTCCTAGGAGGGTTTCTTAGCAGATTGGCCACACTACCATTTCTCAGAGTCGGTCTCATGCTTCTTCTGAGCCAGTTGAGCCGACTATTCTAGCTGATCCTATTGATGACCTCATTTATGTTGATCCATCCGATTTTCCTGCTTCTACTTCTGCTCATTCTCCAGCGACATCCCCTTGGTATCCACTTTTGCTCCTCTACCTACAAAGTCTGTTCCACCATTCGCGTATGTTCTCATTGACCCATCTGTTGCACTTATGGGGCAGATGACCGTGTTGATCGAGTGGCAGGTTCGTATGATGGCGAAGATTACGTAGCTGAGAGATACAGTTGATCGACACACTACCGAGTTTGCTACACTTCGAAGTACTGTTGACCATCTTCAGCGTGGGTTGCGTTGGATTCAACGGCATTGAGATGATGGTACAACTTCTGATTAGGGGACTTATGCTGATGATGCATCATAGTTGTTAGGTTGCCTCATGTCATTTGTGAGAAAAATGGGGAGTAGTAGTATATAGATATAAGAAAGCAGTATATATTAGATATTTTTGATGTACTTAAGTTTTTTATTTGACATTAACATTGAATGTTAAAAATTTTTAATTTGGAAGTATATAATATTTGTTTCAATTAGATTAAGTTTTGATGTTTAGTGATATCAATGTTTCTTTTGGTATGTTGGTTTACATTGATATTACATCTTAATTTAGCTGGTATGATTCATATGACTAATGATTAACTATTTGAACTGTGTTTATCCATATTATTGTTTCACATGCTTTTATACGGGGTATTGAGTTGTCTGTATTAGGAAACAAGTTTACAAAGAAAAAGTACAATTCAGTCAAGACAGTTGGTTTGATAGTAGTAGGTGTTTTGACTCTATTTTGTTTCACTACCTTAATTTTAGATTTGTAGTTTGTCCCAAAATGCCAAAGGGGGAGTTTGTTAGATTTTTGATGTAATTGAAAAATCTGTGAACAAAAGGGACTAGATTTAATGTGTTGTAAAAGTCAAGAAGTAAGTTGCAAATATTATAAATTGAGTTGTATTAGGTTTAGGGTTCCAGAATAGAAGAAAGGAAAAAACGGCGGCTTAATTTCGCTAGACTATCGTCATGACTTTGCTCGAGCAGCAGAAACATAAACATTATTGCTAGCCTGTCGCCTGGCCTTCGCTTGAGCGACACACCATAGCTCGCCTGTCACCCAAGCTTTCGTTCGAGTGACATGGTTATCTGGAGAATTTTAATTCGCGTTTTTAAGGCTTTTTATCTGACTCGTTCATTCTTAAACCTATAGTATAATTACAAGATAGCCTCTTAATATCTTTTCTTAAGGTTGAACATTGAGAAAACGTTGATTACTTCATATCATCTCCATCAAAATCATCCATAGCTTTCAACATTCATTGTTTTGATTTGGTCTTGGTATTGAAAACATCAAACCCACTTAATCTAAATGCAAAACTACTACTTCCTACACATCTGTCATAGTGCTGAAGAACAAAGGAAGGTGATTGAAGTTCTAGTTGTTGGAGAGCGCGAAGTTCTTCATTGATCCACAAGAGATAGACGAATTCATAAAGTTGGGAGTTGGTGCAAGAGCACGCAACCTAAGAGGCCTTTGAAAGCTGCTTCTGACAGTTGGTGCATAAGCACGTAATCCAGGAGGGCTGTGAGAATTGCGGTCGGAGGTCATAAAGTACTAGTGGTAGTCCAGTCGATGGACTGTAAGTTCTAATTCGTTTATAGTGGGTTGTTGACTGGCAAAGTACCATGAGTTTTTACCTTGTTGGGGTTTCTCCGTAATTATTTTTGATGTTTATTTATTACTTTCATATAACTGCAGCAATTTAATTTAGGGAAATTGACTTGTTTAATTAACCATCTACAGATAATTAATAATGACTTGTTGCTAGTTAATTATTAAGTTTTAATTCCGTATTAACAGCTATTCACCTTCTTTAGGTGTAGTTTGGATCGAATCTCATAATTTCAGATATGTTATTGCTGCTGGAATAATGAGCAAACCAATGCAAAATGGACTGAATATTTTCACTATAGATTCTTGGGAAGGAAGGACGGATTTTTAGTCTAAAGATAGCTACATATGATACCAACGTCAACTAGGAATGAACATAATATGTTGCTGCACAAGATTAAATGGAGAATTGTTGGTACATTTTTCATTCAAACCCAGGGCTTTGTTTACCCATTTGTGCATCAGAATTAAGCCTAAAAACTGGAGGAAATATCTTATCCGCATTGACTAGTTCAGCCACAGTTTAACTAATAATGACTTACACAACTAGTGCCAAAAAAAAAAGAGGGACCCTCGACCAAAGACTAGGTCACCAAGCACTATACACGTTCGTGTGAATAACTTAAAAGAAATAACTAAGTTTGTGAAACTATATGTGCTAAATTTTCAGAGATAGTTACTATTAGAATTTTTTTATAGAAATAAAATTATATGGTAATTGATACTATTGATTCACTCATTTAAAAATCGAAGCTATTAAAGATGAGATGAGTTTGTTTATTTAATCTAATGTTAAATTCATCCCTTTACATAAAAATTAGATTCATTTTTCATTAAGATCTCACAAGTGAAATTTTGAATTAAAAAAAAAAAACTATGGGTCCCGTTTGATTGGAAGGGTGAAAAGAAAATTAATTACGGGGAAAGTAATTGCCTAGAAATTATTTTGCAGGGAATTGTTAATTTTTTTTTGTTTTTGAGAGAAATAAGGTTATTCATTCATCGAATCAGCAAGGAGTACATTTGAAATAAAAGAAAGTGGAAAATAAGACCAATCAACAATATCATGTAATGAACTAGCTGCCTTAACTAATGTGTGAGCTACTTGGTTAGCCGATCTCCTAACCCAATTGAACTTGAGGTTCAGTAATTCCTTAGCAATAAGACGACACTCTTCAATTAGGATACCAAGGTAAGAGTTGTCAACGTCATCCTTCTGTAGAGCGCTATAAACCAAGAGAGCATCCATTTCAATGGTTTGGACCCCGAAGAATTTAGATTTAATCCAAGAAAGGGCCTCACGAACCCCCAAAGTTTCGGTGATAATTGGATCAACAATACCTTGAACTGGAACAACTCTGGAAGCAACGAATGACCCCAAATCATCTCGAATCACAAGGCCAAGCCCAGACTTCCGTTTATTTTCAAAAATGGCTGCATTAATGTTTAATTTGAAGGAGCCCGTAGTAGGAGGTTTCCACTTTTCAATCTCCGTTCTGTTGGGACCAACCATGGGCTGTGGTAGTGGCTGATTAGCATCACTCCACTGCTGAAGAATTTTTTTTGCAAAGGTCACCACTTTATGCACCGTAAACGACTTAGCTTTCCAAATAGTTTCATTACGATTCATTTAGATGGTCCAACAAATCATAGCGGTTAGCTCTTGCTCTTGATGATGAATATTGAAGATGGCTATGAGCCAATCTTTGAAATTAGTAAACATGGGGGAAGAACTGACTACTCCCACTGCCTCCCAAACTTTTTGGGCAAATTCACAAGAGACAAGAACGTGGAGCGCGGATTCATCGTGCAGTAAACAAACTGAGCAATGGCTATCAATTTCTACACTTTTTGTCCTCAATTGATCAGCTGTTGGAAGAACAGTCTGCGATGCCCTCCAGAGTAAGTTTTGAACCTCGCCGAAATTTTGCAGCTCCATAGCTTGTTCCAAAAGCTCTCCATAGCAGTGTTAGAGTGTAAGAAAGAATCTGCCATCAATAGATGATATCCACTTCTAACCGAGTAAGCACCTTTCCTGTCATGAATCCAGTACATTCGATCTTCCCTCCCATGGGCTGTAAGGGTAATCTTCATTATCTGACAATGATCATCCTCATTGAAGAGATCAGCAAGTAGGTTATAATCCCAACGGTTCTCACCTGCTATAATGAGTTGATCGATGGTGGTGTCTTCACTCCCTGTGTGTGGTTCTGAGGTTACAAAGCCTTAGTTGGAGTTAGGAAGCCAAGGGTCTTTCTAGATTCTAATCGAGGAGCCATTTCCCACTCGGATTCTGCAACCAGCTTTTAGAACGGAATGGGCAGCAAATATACTACGCCAGACATAGCTTGGCCTATAGCCAATTTTAGCTTCCAAGAATGGTACTGAAGGAAAGTAGCGTGCCTTATAAATTCGAGCGACCAAGGAGGTAGGCTGTGTTAACAACTTCCAAAAAGTAAAAAAAAAAAAGTTGAAAACAAAATGTTCCTAAAAAATCATTTTTTTAATCAAACTTTAGTGTTCGTTCGACTTTGTTTTATATCGAAATTGTCCATTAAAGTGAGTTTTTTTTTAATAATTGATTATGAAATTTGTTTCCATTCAAAAAAAAAGAAAAAATCGACGTTTTCCCACCATAATGGTGGGAAAGCCTTTTCCCTAAATCCAAGGAAAATGGGCGCGTGAGTGGAAGGGGGTGGGAAAAAATTTTCGAGGCCAAATTTGTCCAATCAAACACTATATTTTGACAAAGTTGGAAATTGATTTCCTTTTTCCTAGGAAAAAAATGGTCTATCAAATATGGCCTATATGTCAAAAATTCATCTCTTTACACAAAAAAATTATTCATTTTTCATTAAAATTTCACATGTCAAATTTTGATACTAGGGACCCTATGTCGCGACTTTGGTCTTTTTAATACTGAGCAAAAATATGATTTAAAAGTTTAAAATATTAAAAAATAGATGATTCATTTATCTCATCTTAATTCTCAAAATAAACTCGTTGAAAATTGTCATTATTGTAGGAACTTTAGGAAAGGATGGAATTGAAGACAATGGACTACTCATTGTAAAACTGTTGGAAACTGATCAGATCAGCCTTAAGTGTCATTCATCTTCAGTTTCACATATTGAATGAAAAACTGAAACTGTCCATTATCAGTTTAATGGAAATCAATTTCATGAACGTTCATCTATTCAATTTCTCAACTCCTCATTCAATGCATTAATGTGATGGCTCTTCCTCCACTAGTATAAATAGAGGAGCTTAGTTGGAGGAAAACACAACAACAAAACACACCAAAAACAGGAAACAAAACAAAGGAAAGAAGTCAGGTTTTCCTCCTTTCATTTCCCGCCGACTCCGGTTTATTAAAAGATTTCTTTTCTTTGCTTATTCTTTCGAGAGATAGACACAGCTAGTTCGTAGGTCGGTAACGTGGTGCAACGTATACCGATAACCGATTGTATCCTGGGAATCAAACACCGATCAAAAACCTCGTGCACCCAGGAGAGGCGGCGAATTCGATTTAAGGAAACCGTGTGAACACGGGCCTTCGGTTTGATTGATTTACTTTGATTCACCATTATTTTA